CATTGGTAGTTATAGTCTGCATTTTGTTTGATATTAAGTATGTAACATAAAGCAATTTTTTTAATTCTCAAAATTCTCAAATTTATCTCTAAAAAAGAGAAAACCTTTTGTAACTATTGGCTGTTTTTGCAAAAATCTACACAGCAATAAGAAAACCTTTTATCAAATCACCAAAACATTGTAGTTCTATTGCAAAAGCTAATAAACCTTGAGTAACTGTTCTCTTGTTTTTTTTTCTCAAGTCAAAACAAAAATCACTGAGAAAAAAAAAATATCAGTCTAGATTATGTCGTCTCTCTGGGTCCAGCCACAATACTTCATCCACATCACATGCAATGTCCTCTTGTCCAAAGCACAGGGGAAAATCTGTAGTGGAACATCGTATCCAGGCCTGACATGATGCCTGATCAATATCCCCACATGCTCCCTCCATAGCCTGTAAAAGGGCGATGCATTGATGGGGATGACGGTTCCAGCTCCAGGCAGAGAAGAACTCTTCTGTCGGATTCCAGAATGGAGAGTATGGAGGGAGGTTGAGTGCAGTGAAGAGTGGGTGATCTGTAAACCAGTTGCGGACCAAAGCATCTCAATGGACACTAACATTGTCCCATATGATGACGTATCTGTCCTCCTTTTCCTCTTTCTCCTACTTCTTTACCTCCTTGTCCTCTTCCTCCTCTAATCCTTACTGTTCTTACTCCCTCCATTGTACTCCACACAGACAGCTCACATGTGGCCTATTTATAGTGCTTAGGCTGATTGAAGTATTAAATAATTATCTAAAACAGTTTTAACATGTGAAAGTGTGCCAGACAGTTTGCAAAATAGTGTAAATAATAGCCATATATTTTTTTATTTTTGCTAGGATTGTGTTGGTCATTTGGAAATTGAGTTTTGCAAACTCTATTGTAAGAAGAGGAAAAGAAGAACATAGTGTGTTCATCACACTGATACTGGAGACACAAACTACAAACCAGAGAGAAAGACAGAAATGCACAGCAGAGCCTGTTAATTTGCATGTTGATGGAGAAACACTTTACAGTACATAAAGGAACTACATAATAATATTTTGATTTATTATTATTGTAACTGCTCAACATTTCAGTTTGTTGTTAAAACTTTCTTTCACATTAAACAACCACAAAAAAATGGTCTTAGAGCGCCTCCTCTGGTGATTACATATAACTACCATTCAGGCTCTTAGGGGTTTTTGTACAGCTCTGCTGCTTGTTTGTGTCACTGTGGATATCTGGCACAGTAATACACAGCAGAGTCTTCAGGCTGCATATTCTGTCCATTCAGAGTCACTGTGTTACTGGAAGTGTCTAAGTCAATACTGAACTTGTTCTTCAGTGAATCTTTGTAGTGTGAACCTCCAGTATATTTCATCCCAATCCATTCCAGTCCTTT